GCGTGTTTCAGCGAGGAAAACGTCGTGCCGTCGCCTTGGTGCATGTTGTATACGAGCCAGCTATATAAGATCCTTACGACGCGCACGTCAAAATTGATCTCTCTCTCTCTCTCTCTCTCTGGGTACGTAGCAACACACATCTCACGCTTGCTCCTCTTTAAGGCTATTTTTCTGCTGCTTTCTGCCCTTGTGGCGCTTTTGTTTTGCAGGTCTTGCACGCTCAATATTGCAAGGTTCCGGATGCATCAGGTGTTTTGTTGCATCTTTGACCCTGCAATTGGAATTATTATCATTTCTCCATCGAGTTCGACTTTGAAGGTTAGTTTCCTGAATCATTGAAAATCTGAGGAAGTCTCAAACGCGCAGTCGCAGGATTTCAACAAGTGTCCAGTGCCTCTATAGTGTCGTGTTTACGTTTCGTGTCGTCTTCTGCTGGTGTTTGGAATCTAAGCCTATCACTCTTTCGTCATGGCTCAGTCGGACACGTCGTGCCCTGCAACTTTTCAAGCCGATACCGAACATATTATCAAATATGTCGATATGGCAAACCAAAAATTGGTTGATAAAATGTATGGAATTATGGATCGCCTTATGGATAAGGTTGAAAGCTTGTGTGCGTCGGTTAAAGATCTCGACCGTCGTGTTTCGGAACAGGAAGCCAAGTCATCTACTCTTTCCGAATCGCCAATAAAAAAGGATCTTGAAAATTTAAAAGTCACCACGGCAAAATGCTCTGAATTTATAGGCAAAATTCCTGAATTTATTGCACCTTACTCACTGCAGACTGACCAGTGCGAGATGCTACTGTCTGGCGTGCCGTCTGGCCTAGAGCTTTCCGACGACCAGGTCCTTGAAAAGACCTTTTCATCTATGGGTTTAAAACATCACGAGCGATTTATAACTAGGACTCGAAGCTGGAAATCAAGGAACCCACGCTCTGTCAAGGAACGCACTCGTGCCATCGTTTTCCAGTGCTCTTCATCGATTGTGCGCGATGGCCTTGTTGCTCAGTCACATAAGCTGGCAAAAATAGGAAATAAGGATCTGTTTGATACTGGCGGCGAATCCCGGCTTTCTCTGAGTCCTTTATGGCCCAAAAATGTATACCATCTGCTTCGTGAAGCCAAATCGCTATCTCGTCATCACCAGTATCCCAGCCCAATCGTCCGAAATTTGACTGTCTTCATGCGTATATCACCTCAGTCGGAGTTCATACCAATACTCACTAAAGAAGATCTAAATTCAGTGGCTTTGAAATTATGATTTCATTCATGTACCCAGCTGAGCTGAGCTGTCTTTTTCATGTATTTTTCTGCCTTCAATTATTCTCTAATATCTAATATCTCTCAATACTTGAAATTTGCTTTCATTCGATCTCAAGCCTTCTATTGTTAATCTTGCTTGTAAATATTGTTACCGATCGATATGTAAATATTACCACCATTGCTCTGCAATTGACTGTATTATACTTTTGTATATTTGTTCTTATGGGCCACATGGGGTTCTACCCCACGGTCCGTTTCAAAATAAAACTCAAACTCAAACTCAAACTCTTTCTCTCTCTAGTGCGCTACTGCAGGTGAGGGCGTTAATTATGCACAAGTCGTATAGACATGCCAATGAAATCCGCTACCTATGTAAAGGCTTTCAACAACGTCGCGCACCTCTCTTTCTCACGCGGCAAATGGCACTGCGCCTTCCTTGCGCTAACAGACAAGTTCGGTAATGCGTTTCACTCGCTATACCCCCACACATGCACTCGCTCTCTGCTCTGTAAATATATGCACGCCAGGGTCGAGCTTTTCCTGGCTGCTTCCACAGAGAACAGGAGGAAAAGGAGGAGGAGGGGACATCTATAGCACGCACACGTCGCGCAGCGCGCGCGCTTTAATTGCTTTCGCCTATATAGTCGGATCAAAGTGCAGCCCCCCACGCGCATACGATAGCGTACCGTAGCAATTCCTCCTTTTTTTTGTTTTGTTTATTTTTCGCGAATTTCCCACACGTGAAAAATTTTCAATCTGATGACTCGCGCGCGTTATGTAAAAAACGGTGAGCTTTACTATGGGCTTTGATGTATTTTCGCTTGCCCACGCATGCGAAAAAAACGATTTCGTTTTCCATCGTCGAATATCAGGGACTGTGCTAGTGAAAACTTGTTCTAACGAAAAATGAAATGACATTAGGAATGCCATTTCATAAAACCCCATTAAGTTAATTAATATAATGCCTCTAAAATATAGCAGCTTTTTACTTTGATTCATAATATATAATTTTTGATAATATAGGATAAGCTTTATTTGTCGATGCGACGATATTTCTGGTATAGTATATACTCGAAAAACTTTTGCTGCAGCGATTCTCCCTCTTTCTTGTACTTGTCCGCGAAAATACCAATTCATCATTGCTCGCGAGTTGCTTGCGCATTCAATCGCACCTGAAAGAAAACAAACGAGTCATCCGTATGTACATGCGTGTATGTATGTGTGGCGGTTACTATACGTGCTGCGTGCAGCAGCTTGGGTTATAACTTATTTAGCCCATAAGTATTGGCAAACTGCAGCTGTGCGCGCAACTCAGCATTCGACGAATAAAGTTTATACGCCGGCCGGAAAAAGCTCGTGCTCGCTTCGACTCTTTCTTTTTCGTATTTTTTTTTTTTTTTTTTTTTTTTTTTACAAGTCCGTACGCATTGCCACGAAAAAAATCAAAAGAAAAAAGGCCAAAGAAAGGCATCATCGTACACGATGATGACTCTCTTCGGCCTTGAAAGCTCTTCTTCTTTTCTTCTTCTTCTCTCTCGCTGCACGACGCGACCACGACGACGAAACTTGCCGCTGAACTGCCGCTGCTTCTGCACACGTCTGTGCAGCAACAAGACACGAGCGCAACAACGAGCTTCGTCGACGAGCCGCCTCGTACGTACGCGTCATCATCGTCCAT